CCAAACCAAGCTGCCAAAGAAGGATCAGACGCAGAAACCAAGGTAATCGAAAGAAAACACCCGGTATCTCACGTCGCAGGCTTTGATGCCATATCAAAGTAAAGCTAGAAACGATTGAACATCGAGTTTTTTAACATGGTTTCGTCAATTTGATACTAGTCCACAGTGAGGATCTCCCTCACAGGTTTTTGGTTCTTATTACTTGATACTCTTTTCAGCTATTTACACGAGTATATAAGGGTTTGTATTCATAATCCTAGCCGAGATATGCTGTATGGCATATTTACAAGATGGTACTCTAATTAATATAATTAACATATCAAAAGTGAGAACTGGGAAGAGGGAGGGAAAATGGAAGGAGAAGCATTCCACAAGTTTGTTAAAACATACCACAAGTTTATCAAAACCTACCACAAGTTTCTTAAAGCACATAATACCATTGAACCTATTTGTAAATTTTACAAATTTAAGGTATCAAAATGTAAGACGAAAACATTTTAGGTAATTAAATGTATTTTTTATCAATATGTTAGGATTTATATGAAAAAATTAATTTTAGGCACTAAATAACAAGATCTATTAAATTCAGGGTCAAAAACTATAATTTTGTACCTAGAAGCCAATGAAAGCAACATAGAAGAAGAGGGAAGGTGAGAGGAAGAAGGAAGGAAAATGATACAGTTATAAGGCTGAGTCTAATGCGGTCGTCAAAAATGTATTTCTCGGCATTTATGGCGATAATCGCCATTTGGTTCCCTATTTATGGCAAACCACCACCTTCTTTTTTTTGGTTTAATTAGAGTTAAGTCTTTAATTAAGACATTAATAACTGTTGTAATTAATATTTTTTTAATTTTATTTTTCCTAGTCTCATAAATTAAAAGTATGTTAATTTTTTGCCAAAAAAATCGGTCTCGGAATTTGAAAAAATTATATCAGAAATTTGTATTTAAAAATGATGACGAACTATAATAAATTAACATGAACAAATTAGATTAAGATGATCATAAGTGTATTTTTTAAATAAAGAAAATTTTTTAAAAATATAGATCTCCAAATTTGGAGATAGTAGCATTGGAGCAAAAAATCATCAAAATGAGGATAATACCCAAAATTTGGGACTAACATTAGAATTGGTCTAATATACCTTTACAGTAACTGTTAGTACCATATCCGTTCCCAAGTATCTGTAAAGCTATTTCTATTTTTATTTTATAGTAATAAATAAAATGTTTATTTTTATACTTCACACTAGCTCGTTGACCAGAGATACCCGGGAGATATTGGAAATGGTCACCGGACAGTCGCCGGTGACGAGCACAAAGAGCGAGGGCAAGGGATGAGTGGGAGACACAAGTTGAGCAGGGACAAAGAGTTCTCAAAACCGTGTGCATTGCTGTTACTCAGCACTGACACCTCTAAAACTAGAACTATATGCATATCTTATGATCTCTATCCCCCTAAAGATTGCACCGAACAAGTTAATACAATGGAATTTAGCGATGCACCCGGTAGCCTGTCGATGTAGGACATGAATGTTTATCAGTCTGGCTGGTTGTAGCTGAAAGATTTTTCCTGATATAGTGCCATATTGCTACCTATGGAATTTTATTATAATGTATGCGGTATGCCTAATGAATCACTTACATCTAACGGCGTGCCATGGTCCGATCCTGTTCAAACTCAAGAGAAAAGCGTGCCAATAGTAAAACACATCTTAGGATAAAAAGATTGGACCAACAGTGTATTCAGTCCGCTTTTTAAATCAACCCATTGGACACCCATACCTACATCAATGTCAAAGTGCAATTCCATTGTCTAGTTAATCTTCTTTTGCAAACATAGTGAAGAGTATCTACGAAGGAAATGAAAGAGACGAACTTTACAAAGGTATAAAGGATAATTGATAGCGACTCCTGGAAAGTTATCTATCTTTCTAAGGATGGTCCGCCATTAACTCATCTTTTCTTTGTAGATGACCTTGTCCTATTTGCAGAGGCAGATGGTGGACAGGAAGCGGCTATCCTGGATTGTATAAACCGTTTTTGTGCGGCTTTTGGACAACAAATCAACAAAGAGAAATCATGTATCTATTTCTCCAAGAATACCAAAGATACGACCAAGAAACTACATAAGCAATCAGTTGGGCATCAAGCCAACCAACAACTTGGGAAGATACCTCGGAGTCCTCGTCATTTATGACCATGTGACTAAAAACACCTACAAGTTAATTATTGCAAAACTTAACCAGAAACTGTCCGGGTTGAAGGCCATGAATCTTTCTCTTGCAAGATAGGTGACTCTAGCTCTGTCTGTCCTGAATGCTTTACCAAATTATGTCATGCAGACAATAGTGTTTCCAGTCTCAGTTTGAGATATTATTGACGAGAAATTCGAGCTTTTACATGGGCAACTGAATCAGGGAAGCCTAAAGCCCTCCTTGTACCTTGGGAGACAATTTGTAAACCAAAGGAGGAAGGGGGACTTGGGTTGAGATCCGCCAGAGCTCTTAACTTTGTGTTATGAGGACAATCCAACTATCCAAGTACCACATTGGAAATACAAGGGAAGGAACTCTTGTATATTAGTATCCACCAAGCTCATTACTATGAGGTCTTTTAGGGAGACACCCAGAAGTAAAATCGTGCGGCCTTGGCCCAAAGCGGATAATATCATACTAATTGAGCTGCCCGGTTATGACACTTTGCTTATCTTATGAAGCTTGGATGATTGTTTCTTAATAATGCTAATGAGCTCTGGGTCAAAGTGTTACAGGGAAAGTACTTCCGTGTAAACAGGGATGGCGGAGTGACGAGGAAACAAAGCATGCAATCGTGATTGTGGAAGAGGGTCATGGAGGCTTGGCTTGCGATGAAGCAAGGAGTACTGTTTGACCTTAGGGGTGGCAGGAAAATTGAATTTTGGAATAGTCCATTGCTATCCAATGATATTATCCTTGAAGATCACATTGTTGGCGATGGCAGGGACTTTGATTGGGGAGCGTCAGTTGCTAACCTCACAACCAATGAGGGTGAGTGGCGCTTTAGAATGTTTGAACCTCACCTCCCTCACAATTACGTTTGTCTTATTTCAGGGGTAGACCCACCTCGAGAGGAGCTCGGCGAGGACGTGATCGTATGGGAATTGGAAGCTGATGGAAAATTCGGCCTCCGTTCAGCTTACCGAGCTACTACTGAATGACTCCAGGACGATGAAGCAGAGGCGAGCAGCGGAGAGAAACCAGAGTGGCGAAGTATTTGAAGATGGAAAGGGCCCAACCGTACTAAACATTTTCTTTGGCTGGCATTCTACAACAGGCTCATGACAAATTATGAGAGGAAGCGCAGAAATATCATGACAAGTGACACCTGCGAGCTGTGTAAAAGTGCTCTAGAGTCCACATAACACATGCTTCGACATTGCCATAAGGCACAACAGGTATGACGCCAGCTTGGCACCCAGGAAAACTCCCATACTGTGGCTCTTCCCTTCGCAGAGTGGATGGCAGCTAGGGGTGTGCATTCGGTCGGTTCAGTTTCGAAACCAAAATTATGCATACCTGGTCACCGAATTCCACCAAACCTCAAACCAAATTCGAACCGAATTTTTGGTTCAGTTGGTTTAAACCAAATTATATTTTGGTTCAGTTCGAAATTTCACACGAAATAGAATTTTTGAGAATACTTGTATCTTCTCCATTTTAAATTATTTTTCATCCCTAATGTAAATAATAAATGTGCAATTATATGCATTATCAATGATAAAATCAAACATTTTGACACATAAGTCATAAAACACTAACATGATTCAAATATTTAAGTATCAAAACAAGTACAAACATAAAAATTCACCATTTGGAGCTTTCAATTATAGTAATTTGGTTTTTACCCTAGTTTCCGTAATATCCATATATCTCTTCCGAATTTCAAACCGAATAGCATTATTTTGATTTCTGTTCTGTTTAATTTGGTTTCAATTTGGGTTGGGTTTACCGAACCAGTAGCCCACCCCTAATGGCAGCTCATCTAAAGTCTGCAAGTTTCAGGCTGCTGATGAGGGTGGCGATGTGGTACTTATGGAAGCGGAGAAACGATGAGATATTCTAGAAGAAGTAGGTAGACAAAAGTGGAGGATCAGAAGCTGGACGAGGACCATTCAGCAGGAATAGGAGAGTGAGAATCAAACCCAAGGAACTTATCAACTAAACACTGCGGCTCAACTACATTTGAGTCCCCCGCCTGTCGGATGGGTCTACATTAACATAGATGGATCTGTCCAACAACCTCGTCGTGGGCTGCAGCAGGAGGGCTTATTAGAGACGAGTATGAGAGATGCACTAGAGATTTTACACAAATCTGGGAGTCTGTACAATTACGAGAGCATAGCTAAGGGGGGCGATATACGACTTAAAATTGGCATGGGAGCAAGGGCATAGAAAAGTTCATCTTAAACTTGATTCCACGACGGGTATCAAAATATTTACTTCCACAGATAATAAGGCCCAAAGATATTACATTGCCAGAGAATTTCAGAGACCCGCACATAAAAATTCGGAGGTTCAAATCTCACATACTTTCATCGAATGCAACAAACTTGTTGACTTCCTCGCCAATAGGGGACATTGAGTCGGATTAGAGTATCATATTTTTAATGTTTTGGATCCCGACTTTCTTTTTGGGTCTTGTATGATACTTTGATTATTGCCCAATATCGTTTAATTTAACTATCAGACAAGGACACCCTTATAACATCCCGTTTTCTAAACAAAAAGTAAGTTTCCAACATTTCATTTTGGGTCATGTTTGAAACTTTCATACCATTTCCAGGACAATTTATGCATCTTAATTGCTCAATGGTAATTCAATACAATGTCCATTGATCTCACTTTTCAAGCTGGGTTATGAAAGGGTCTCTTTTATTGATTGATATATAATCTAACATACTATGCTCCATTCTTCACAAGAAATCAAACAAGAAGAGAAATAGTGGGAAAAGAAGAAAACAAAGGAAGCCCCTTCTACCCTCCCATACATCACACACCACCCTTATGTGCAATTCATGTACACATTCTGTATATAAACAACATTCATCCATCAATAAATTTTATGTATATTCACACTTTCCATCCTTTCTCACAGCTTGCAAGATATCTGCGGCAAAAACTCCACACCATAAGGACTCAGGACAAACTCAAAAGGCATAAATCTTCCATTCATATCGTAGCTAATTTGAGTGAACAACTTACTTACAATGATTCAAGGAATGGGTGTTTTCTCACAGAACCTTCTGCCCCAGATCACTGACGATGGTCATTTTAGAACGATGCGCTAATGGTAACGTCTTGTCTGTGAGCATTTCTATCAAACTTCAAGATAGGCGCGTGAGGGGTGTTTACCTCTGATTTCGAGGAGGGTGGTGTCATTGGTCCGCTTCTGTCTGATTTTGAGGAGAGCAAGATGATTTCGCTTCGGGTGTTTACCTCTGATTTTGAGGAGGGTGGCATCATTGCTCCACTTTCATCTGATTTTGAGGAGGGCAAGATGATTTCACTTCGTGCATTTGCCTCCAGTTTTGAGGAGGGTGGTGTCATTGGCCCGCTTCTGTCTGATGTTGAGGAGGGTAAGACGATCTCGCTTCTTGCCTTTCCGCTCATGTGCTCAGTGCTTTGGGCAGCTAGGTACTCGAGGGCGACCACTATATCGCCAATCAAAGGGCGTAAATGTGCCTCATCGTGGAGGCACATTCCAGCTATGGCAATGGCATAGTTCAGACACCGACGAGGGTAGCAGCCTTGTAGCCGAGGGTCAACCATTTGACAAAATTTCTTCTGGTCCTTCAGATAGGGGCGAGACTGCAAACATTATAAGGGAGACAAAATATCATTTTATTACCATAATCCATATATAGAAGCTTCCTAGTTATGTTAGAAGGAAAAACGTGAGACTTCTTCAAGTCACTCACCCACACAACGAGGTTCTGCTCCCCTTGCCTTCTGCTATAATTCATTGCCTTACGTCCAGAGATGAGCTCCAACAGCACCACGCCAAAGCTATAGATGTCTGATTTAAGAGTCAATTTCCCACTCATGGCATACTCAGGGGCACAGTATCCGTACGTTCCCATGACTCGAGTGGAGACGTGAGTGTTGTCGCCAACTGGTCCCAGTTTTGCAAGCCCGAAATTAGATAGCTTGGCGTGAAAGTCCTTGTCCAACAAGATGTTTGCAGATTTTAGGTCACGGTAGATCACTGGTGGATTTGCTTTGCAGTGAAGGTACTCTAGGCCTCTAGCTGCATTGACTGCAATTTTCATCTGTGTGCTCCAACTCAGTGGCTCTTTGCCAGTGTCCGCATCTGGGATTCAAAAACAAACACCACCATATAAGGCGATCAAGTTTAATGCTTTAATTTTATTCGATGAACTTGGAAGGAAATTAGTTGAATTGTGAATACATATCCCATTTCAAAATCCAAGCTCCAACCTTTTAGAATTTGAAATCCAAACCTTCCAAAAGACCACCTTGGACTAAATGTTCAACATTTCATCCACTTAAATCACTCCTCTAAGGAGACTAATATGTCTGTTTCTAGATTCTACTTCAAAAAATTGGATGAACACAATACTAGTAAGGTTCAAGCGAACACAGTCAAATATTGCAGAAACAAGAATTGGGCTCAGAAGACAGAAATGCCATACCAAAAAGATGACGTTCCAAGCTGCCTCTAGGCATGTACTCGTAGACCAACAATCTCTGGTCTCCAGCAGTACAGTAGCCCGTCAAGGTAACGAGATTAGGATGGTGTAGTAAGCTCAACATCAGAACCTCAACGATGAATTCTTGATTCCCCTGCATTCCATCCTGGTTCAGCTGCTTCACCGCAACAATCTGCCACATTAAGATTACAAATGAAAAGAAGTAATCAGGCAAAATGACAATTTCCCAAAATATAATCATATGCGGGGGTTAAGAAACCATCCACCCAACATTGCTCTATGTATCACAATGATCACTAAACTCGGAGCTGCAACAAATAAAGCACCAAAATCGCAATGACCTTGATTTATTCGGACAAGTTTCGAGCTTTAAGTGTTTCGGTACCAGGCTTAATGCACAATGTGAGAGATATATACGAGTATGGTGACAACTTTGATGCTTGGAAAGAAAGTATAATACCTCGCCTGTATCCAGGCGGCCTTTGTAAACCCGGCCAAAGCCTCCTTATCCGATCAAATTCAAGTCCCTGAAATTCTGGGTAGCATTGGCCAGCTCCCTGAACGAGATGACTTTGAAACTTTGTCTTGCTCTCAAAATCTCCACGAGATAAATGACCGACCAAGTCGGACACATCATCCTGATGTAGACCTCCTGGTATCAAGACATCTTGCATAATCCGCATCAGCAAATCCTTCTACTTCCGGTTGACAATCGACAAGGAAAAACATACCTAGATCCTGTATATGCTTGAGATACCGCAACAAGCAATGTAAAACATCCAAGTGAGTAGTGCGAGCCACCCCTAAGGAATGACTGACATTCTGAACCGCATATTCTATGTCTAGCGTAGTGTGGGCGAGATAAATCAAACTCCCAACTATGCTCCTATAGAACGTCAGATCTTCTAGAAGATCACCACTTTCCCTGCTCAGTTTTAAGTTTTGTTCCATCGGTGTGGAGCAAGGTTTGCAGTCACTATACTGTGCTGTCTCTAGAAGATCAATAACGTACTTGCGCTAGCTCACAAATAACCCTTTCTCTGACCGAGTCACCTCCAAACCTAGGAAATATGAAACTTCCCTAGCTCTTTGAGATTAAACGCATCATGCAACAACTAAGTCAAATGTTGTATGCCATCCATATCACTTCCTATCACAATCATGTCATCGACATAGAGTAATAACACAACTATACCCTGAACAGTATGCCGCAAGAACATGGAAGGATCACTCAAACTCTGCTCAAACCCCGCCTGTAGAATAATATTATGGAATTTCTCAAACCATGCTCGTGGTGCCTGCTTCAACCCATACAATGATTTGCGAAGCTTACAAACCACATCCTTCCACTTTTTGTCATATCCAGCCGGGCACTCCATATAGATCGTCTCCTTCAAATCCCCATGCAGAAATGCATTTTTCACATCCAATTGAATAAGAGGCCAATTGCGGATGAAAACTACTGCAAAAATACTCTTGACAGTCTGCATACGCACCACCAGTGCGATAGTCTCATCGTAGTCTATACCAAATTCCTGGCGAAACCCCTGTGCAACAAAACTAGCCTTATGTCTCTCAATAGTACCATCAAGAAACATCTTGATGTTGTAGACCCAACGATTACCCAGAACATGAATACCTGGCACACGAGGAACAATGTCCCAACTATGGTTAGCCTCAAAGCACGCGTTTCTTCAAGGTGGATCAGCCCCTTGTGGCGGATCGGGCAGCCCAGGGACGCCAACCTCAGGATCAAAACTCGGGAGAGGTTGAAGAAAATCCAAGGTGGGAGTATGATCCTCAGCAGCAATAGAGTAATGCATAATTTGTTCAAGAAAAACAACATGAAAAGATATGCGCATACAACGTTCTTTAGGATCATAACACGAGTACCCCTTGTGACGCTCATTGTAGCCCATAGAGACACATCTAGCCATTTTCGATTCCAAATTATGATGTTCCTTTTTTGCGGAAGAAAAAAGTAAACACAACCAAATACTCGCATCCATGAGTAGTTAGGATGTTTGGAGAATAAGAAAAAGAACGGAGACAGGTCATTCAAAGTATGAGTAATTTGCCGATTAATAACATAAACAACGACATTAATAGCCTCGAACCAGAACCCACAAGGCACCTGAGACTGTAGCAGAAGAGCTCGGGTCAGTTCTAACACATGTCAGTGCTTGCGCTCAACCAACCCATTTTGCTGAGATACCCCTAGGCACATTGCTGCGAAATGATACCATTAGATTGATAGAAGGCCAATTGCGGAGTGGAACTAAATTCACCACCAGGATCTGATCGAATAATCTTGGCTGTCTTGCCAAACTGAGTACAAATCATCTGAACAAATGTTGTGGCATGATCAATGAGCTCAGATTTTCGTCTTAAAAATTAGATCCATGCATAGCGTGTGGCATGATCGACGAACAAGGCGAAGTAACCCCATACGAGAAGTGATAGGGGATGGACCCTACAAATCTTTGCGAATAAGATCAAATGGAGACTCATATACCGTGTCACTAGAAGAGAAAGATGATTGGGAGGTCTTGGCTTCAATGCAATGGATAGAGGGAGGCGGTTGTCTAAATTTTGCATTCAATGAATCGGGTAACAGATTATGTTGAAACATATTATGCAAACGAGCACTATGGGGATGACCAAGTCTATGATGCCATAAGTCCCAAACAGAGGCTCGTACACTGAAATCCAAAGAATCTAAAGGCCGAACTGAGCAGGCCAAGGAATAAGAAGAAATCGACACACAAAAAATGTGTTCCTTATTCAATAGACAAACATCCGCAACTACACTACCATATTAAAAAACATCACCGTCCGCAGAAAAAAGCCTAACCCGGCCAGCCTTGATGCTCCGGGTCTTCATCCAACAAAAAACAAGACTCGTCTCTCTGCAGTGCCCTCGACCGATCACATTCTTCAAGGACAAAAACGCGGCCATCCTTCTTACCCTTGCCCAGAACCTTCCTCATGATCTGATCCTACACAGTACAACCCTAATTATCGAACTTAACCTCACATCCATCCTCTATCAACTGACCAACCATGACAAGCTGGGGAACCAGTTGGGAACATATAACGTGTTTGGCAAAGAAACACTTCCTGTAGTAGCAGTGCCTAGACCATGAGTAGAGAGACGGGCCCCATTGGCGACTTGTTAAGAGGAGGTTAAGCCAGTATTTAACGAAGAAAAATGTGTACGGGCATTAGTCATACGATTGAATGTAGCAGAATCAAGGAGCCAACTAGAGGAAATACCTTTACAGCCACCGGTAGCAAAATCAGAATTGTGAGCTGTAGGGAGAGCATCCTGCAGAGCCTCAGCCACCTGTCTACGAACATTTGTCGAAGTCAGCGCAACCGGGAGAGGAGCCAGTGCTAGCGGAGCGTGGAGGGGAGAAGAAGTAGCGGTGGGAGCTGGAGTCACGGCAAAACTCACACCAGTTGGACCACCAACGAAGCCAGAACCACGCTCCCCATGTGACATCCCACCCTTGTTGCGGCGAGCTAAAACTTTGCATTCCAGAACAATATGACCGGACTGCTTTCAATAAATGCAGAAATTCTTCTGTTTGCAGTGCGGTTGAATGTGCCCCACTTCATGACAATAATGATAGGTCAAGGGGCCAGTATTACCATGCTGAAACTGAGGACACGAACCTCTAGCGCGGCCCACAGCAAAAGCATATTCGGAAGAACCTTCAAGTTTGGAGAGGCTACGAAGATGAGTTTCTTCCCGAAACAATTCACCAAGAGCATCCTCAATAGAAGTATCATTACGATGCAAAATGGAGGCACGAATAGCCTCAAACTCCGGGCGGAGTTTCATAAAAAACTGCATGAGACGAGATCGATCACGATTCGGAAGAGTGGTTGCCGTAACAGGAGTCTCAGAGAACGAGGCAGCTAGCATATCTTTCTCAGTCCATTTTGTAACCAAATCCTGATAGTAAGACCAAATATCACGATCACCCTGAGTGAACAAGGTAATCTCACTCTCAAGCTCAAACTGACGAGACACATTGTTCTGAGAATGAACAGTCCACATCAACCGTGATATTGTTTTGGTGAAACGACGAAGACTAACTCCGATTTCGTCATCAACCGAGCCAAGAATCCAATGTATCAACTGAGCGTTTGAAGCAGCCCAGTCTTCTTTGTCCCGCTCTGTAGCAGTGTCGGCAGGCTCAGTGATTTGCCGGTCAAGATGGGGAGCATGCGTTTTCCATCGATGAAGCTCCGGAATTGAAATTCCTAAAAAGGGAAGTTCTTCCCACCCAGTCTCGCGGAAAAGACCTCAAGTTTTCCCTAGTCCATCAAACAAGATCAGTAAACACACGGAACTGATAGCCAAAATAAGGAAACTAGGGTAGAAGAGAACCAAAGGCAACGCTCAAGGAAGTAGAAGAAAACCCGGAATGCGCATAAGACCAAGACGAATATTTAATATCCACCAATCTGAGCTGCCAAAGAATAATCTGACGCAGCGAACAAAGCCAAACCAAGCTGCCAAAGAAGGATCAGACGCAGAAACCAAGGTAATCGAAAGAAAACACCCGGTATCTCAGGTCGCAGGCTTTGATGCCATATCAAATTAAAGCTAGAAACGATTGAACATCGAGTTTTTTAACATGGTTTCGTCAATGTGATACTAGTCCACAGTGAGGATCTCCCTCACAGGTTTTTGGTTCTTATTACTTGATACTCTTTTCAACTATTTACACGAGTATATAAGGGTTTGTATTCATAATCCTAGCCGAGATATGCTGTATGGCATATTTACAAGATGGTACTCTAATTAATATAATTAACATATCAAAAGTGAGAACTGGGAAGAGGGAGGGAAAATGGAAGGAGAAGCATTCCACAAGTTTGTTAAAACATACCACAAGTTTATCAAAACCTACCACAAGTTTCTTAAAGCACATAATACCATTGAACCTATTTGTAAATTTTACAAATTTAAGGTATCAAAATGTAAGAGGAAAACATTTTAGGTAATTAAATGTATTTTTTTATCAATATTTTAGGATTTATATGAAAAAATTAATTTTAGGCACTAAATAACAAGATCTATTAAATTCAGGGTCAAAAACTATAATTTTGTACCTAGAAGCCAATGAAAGCAACATAGAAGAAGAGGGAAGGTGAGAGGAAGAGGGA